AGCATACGTTCACTCTCCCATACTGATAACTTATTGGCTGGATTTTGTTAGTAGATCAATAAGAGGTTACAAAGTATAAGTATTCACTTCTCAAGGGTGTGTGATTGATTTCTCTAGCTCACACTGTCACTCTTACACTTTCCCTTAAGGATAACAATTCAGCACTCAAAAGACAAGTATGAAGTTCTTTTGCTTTGGAATTTTTCATTCTAATCTCGTCTCTATTCTCCTCGTCACCTTATTCTCCTTTTATACTCCTCCACTTCCAATCTTTTCGTTGGACAGCTTTCAAAGGATTGTCTTCCAATCTACCCATAGGATAGAACTGTATGAAGAAGATTGAGTAGCCATTGAGGAACAAAATGAATCTTCATTGATTATGATCGCCCATACAACCAAAATCTCCATTTTTCATAAGTAGAGCTCTTCATTTTAGAACGTTATTTGTTTCGAGATTGATTGCCAATCAATCAGAAGTCTTACATATTATACCGTTGCAAAACAATCTTTAGAAATGGGAGTCAATCAAACCATTCTATGAAGGAAATCCGAGCCGGATTACTAGTTGTTGTGGGTCTTAAATTTGTGTATGAATAAGATTAAACAGAGTTCTAGAGTCTGAAGTTTCTCTTTAGTATAAATTTTGGGTAGGTTCTTCAAATTGATGAAACTAAGTTTATAGACTTAGAGTCTGAATACGTTTGAAGATATCCATGCATAGCTCTTTCGATATTCATCCGTTACTTGATGATGTTCATATAATAACTTTGATGACATCCACGAAGTAATAGTCCATAAATCACAATATCTGGATAGACTTAGAGTTGAGTCTGAAAGTTTCTTACTTCCCGTATCACCAAAACACTAAGGCATTTGTCGGACTTAACAACAAATAGATACTTTTGTCAACTTTAAAACTTGTTAAGAGGTTTTCTCAACATACCTTGCATCTTGCATTCTTGTTGTTGCCGTCTCTTTTTGGTTGTAATTGCTATTTGTCTGGATTGTAGATAAGGGGATGTTTTACTATAGTTTGTCATTTCAAAGAATAAAAAGAATGAAACCAAAAAGAAAGGAATTGGCTAGTTCCTAGGTATACCCCAAAACCAAACCGGACCAACAAGGTCGGTTTTTATGGTATATTGGGTGGATCCACCTTCCCAAAAATGGGAACAAGTCTCAAAATAGTATGTTCTAGGTTCCAAATTAAGAAACTACCCACTCTAAAATCGGTCACCCCTGGTCCCATGTCGAGTCAAATGACCCAAACGAAATACAAAACTTACGTACATGAAGATGGACTACAAACATATGAGTATTTATATACTAAATGAATGCTTAACGGCTTTTCTTTTTCTTTTTGGTCTAAGTAGCATGCTTAATTGACTTCATTATGAATAAAAATAATAAACTACGGTCCATTTGGCAGGGCTTCCAGCGGTGTAATCAGATGGAAGAGAAAGACACTAACCACGGAGGTCTTGTTGCATTAGCTTGAGAGGATTGATTCTATCGATCACATGAGACTTTTGCTACATGTTCGGAATACTCTTGTAACAGGAAAAATTATCTAAAAAGTCATAAATTTATTGCACTTATGCCGATTCAGTCATCAATCTCTTAATTTTGCTAATTGAGTCCTAAACATTTTCACATTTGGCCAATTGAGTTCATCCAACTAATTTTGGCCAAAAATCGCTGACGTAGACTAGCCGTCTTACATGGCACGGCCAGCACTGACGTAGATAATTTTTAATGATATTTTAATATTTTATTGAATATTTTCTTTTTCCTTTCTTTTCTTTGCAATAGGTTTATAACTTTTTGGACAATTTTTCTCACGTAGCAATCAGTTGACTCTCGACTCAATTCACATTGATCGAAAGATATAGTTCACGCAGACATTTTTCTATCCTAAATTAGTAGAGTGTGGACTTCGGAGTAGTCAATTTGGTTCGGATTTACATTAAGAAAAGTCAAACCCAAATTGTATTGCTTTTTCCCTCTTGATCATACGCTTTTTGGTGAATCCACCTCTATTGAATTCAGAGTATAATGGTCTACAAAGTAAAATGAGATTCGAAACCAACGAATATGGAGTCCTCAATTATGTAAGAAGAGGCAATACTATCCTATACAACATATAATAGTCTCTCCATTTTATGACCTAATAACGTGAAAAAAAAATAGGATATTTAAATACGTGTCACGTAGATAATGTGGAAAATAACATCAACTACATTACAGCAATCGAGACAAAGATCCTTTGTCTTAAAAATTTCAATTCGTGCTAGGTTTTGATATTCAATTGGATAGAGTTGATATAAGATGAGATGGACACACGTCAGAATTCGTAGTGAAAGAGATGGGAGATGGAATCGGAAAATTATCAAAAAAGTCTTAAACTTATTGCATTTCTACCAATTCAATCTTACACCTTTCAATCGTGTCAATTAAGTTCTAAACATTTTGACAATTTGCCAAATTAATCCTTCTGGCCAAATTGCTAACATGGACGTCAATTGTCTTATATGGTATGGCTAGCGTTGACATGGACAATTTTTACAATTTTTTTAAATTGATTTTTAATATTTTTTCATTTTTTTCTTTTTCTTTTTCCCCGCCATTCGCTGAGCCTTGGCGAGGGTCGGCAACTGGCCACAGGCAAGAGATGACCACAAGCGAGGGCGAGTTCGCTAGATCTTGACGGCTTGAGCCTCGCTAGCCTCGGGCGAGGCTCCACCTCGCTAGATCAAGCGAGGTCGAGATTCAGGCGAGGTCGAGTCTCGCCCAAAGCCGGAGAGATTAGCCCTTGTCAAATTCGGCGAGAATGGCCCTCGCCAGTGGCTAGTTGCTAGCTACCGCCAAGCCAGGCGACCAGATGAGGAAGAAGGAAAAAAATAAAAAATAAAATAAAAAAATACTAAAATGTTGACAAAAAAATTGCAAATATTGTCCACCTCAGCACCATAGGATAGTCGGCGCCCACGTCAACAATTTTCGGCCAAAATTAGCTGGAAAGACTAAAATGGCAAATCATCAAATGGTTTAGGACTCAATTAATAGGTTTAGGATTTTTTTGCTAATTTCTCCGGATGGAATCATACAGACAAGAACGAAAACAGAGGTCCTCATCCTGGACAACTATAGAAAGCTTTTGTTTTTAGTTGGCATCATTATGGATCCAATAGATTCTTGATATGTGAGCGACTCGTTATTATTAAATCGACTAATTATTTTCTTTGGCATTTTAAAGAGCAAAATGCAATTCAAGGAGTTTGTATTTTTTTAGTTGGCATCATTAAGGATCTAATGGATTCTCGATATGTAGGCAACTCGTTGTTCTTGAACTCACTAATCATTCTCTTTCGAATTTAAAAGCTCTAAAATGCAATTCAAAGTGTAAATTCCTCTCTCTCAACCAAGCTAAAATGTCCACCCTGGGCAAGGCATTATACTGTGCTCGTCTGGACCTCTTGCGGACCTTGGCATCCCCAGATGTTAAGCCACAAAGGGGTAGAGGTAACTCCCATGCCTCAAGAAAGATACTGGCTAGAGTTTACACTCCATAAGATAAATGACCTAAGCAAGTCACCAAAAGATTTCATCTTTATCCTCAGTTAGACCTCAAGGTCACCAGGATATAAAACTTACAAAGGGTATTTCTTGTCTTTGGGAAAGACAAAGATACAAGGGGAATTGGAGGTGAGGTATGCGGGTATCGACACGTTAAAATAAGGAACGCATCCATGGAGCCCGCCTCATAGGATGTGGACAATCCGCGGAGGCCCTCTTAAGAATGAAAGCTCCCTTCCTTTGACGATGTTATCTCTTAATCTAACACCAAGGATTCAAGGAAAGTTTATAGTTAAGTGTTAAGAGGTTAAAATGTCAATCGATGGACATGAGAGATTCGGACTCTGATTGAAAGCCCGGCCCATCATCATCGGGAAAACAAAAAGGCGATAAAGTTCAAGCCAAAAGCTCCGGAATTTCTTACCGCAATCACCGTTGAAACGAAAAAAGAGAGAAAAAGGAAAAGACTCGTCAACAACCTCCAACAACCAAAAGCAAAGAGAAGAAAGAACCCACGATCTCTGTCTCTCTCTCTGGCCCTCTCTCTCTCTCTCTCTCGCTCTGTCGCTGGCACATTTCAAGAAACCGATTCTTGGAACATTCTCTTCGTTGACTTCTTGACCGTCACCAACCAATCCGAAACCCCATTACCCACGACGCCCCTCCAAGCTCACCATCCTCGCAGACCCTTCAAATCATTCCCCCCGCAGGACCATGGTCACACCTCAGAGCTTTTAATAAATGAAACCCGAAAAAAGCTCCCTCCTTTTACTATCTTTCCTTTTGCTCTGTTCCTCTCTTTAATCAGTGCACTCGTCCCGTGTGGACCATCATCTCTTCTTTTGCCTCGTCGACGTTTTCACTCCCCCACTCTGATTTTCACCTTTTCCTTCTCACTCTCTCTCTCTCTCTCTGCCTGCAGCGCCAGCAGCGGCATAATCATGACGGTCCATTATTAATTCTTGGTAATTCAAAAGTTGCTCCGCCAGAAATCGCTTTTCTGGCTTCTTGTTTCCATGATGGGTCCTTTTTCTTCGGGTTCTTTAAAGGATCTTGATCCTGCGCGAGAAGATCCACCTCTGCTGCTTCGGCAATGGCGGAGAACCCAGATGGTGTTTCGGACAAGCGTTGCTCCAAGGAGTACTGCCCGAGCCCGGAAGGCGATTTCGGGCCCGGCGGCACCGAAATGTCGGGTGCGAAGAAGGTGAATTTGAGGGTCGAGATCGATACTTCGCCGCCGTTTGGGTCGGTGAAGGAGGCGGTGACCCATTTTGAAGGAAGTGGATCTTGGTTCTCGCTCCACGGCCTTGGCCTTGGACTCAGACATTCTTATGTAAGTTCGCTTTAAGCGTGCTGTTTTTGTGTGATGATTGATCAAATCTTTTGTTAAGTACGCATTTAGTCTGTAGAGTGCTTTGCTCAGTTCGGGTTTAATCAGTCGATTGTTGTTGTTGTTTCTTTTTTGTGGGAAGTGTTTGCTTTGTTTCGAATTGGCATTAATGCTAAAGAAGCTTCTCCGCTAAAGTTCCAAAAAAATATTGGGCAATTGTTTCATACGAAACATAACCAGTGAGTTGCAGGTCCTGTAGTTGCTGGATACTTCAATTTCATGCATGGTCTGGTCGGTCATCTTTCTTAGGGAGTTGATAAGCAATGAGAACTTAATGCATAGTGTGGACTCGTAAGTAAGTTGTGGTCTTTCCCTCTTACAGATTAGTTCCATTAACTTACGCTATTATGGACGTGGATAATGTGCTGTAGATGCATTATCGGAAGCGGTTTGTTGTTTCATTTAATCAGATTCGCAATGCACAATTGTTTACGAGCAATTTCTTATGCACATTTTGTTTTATTACTAAGCAGTAGCTTCATTGAGCAGAACTGGAATTCCTAAAATGACATATTAATCCACGCACGTTGATCATATTTATCTGTACTGGTCCATGCATATGGAGTTCGCAGGGAAAGCCAAGCCAAGCGAAGTGCACATCATGTCCCCATATATTGGATTTCTTCAATGATTGCCAATACCTCTGAGCATTTTGTTGGCTCTTAAGTGGGAGTGCTAGCTGTAGCCATACATTAGTTGCTTTTATGCTGATAGTGTGCCGCAAATGCTATCGGTGTTCTTACTACAAAACAAGATAATGACGAGACAACTTGAATTTAACGAGAAGATTTAGGACACAGACTGTAGTTTCCCCACTTATAGTTAAGGACCCTGAATAAGAGCTAACTAGTTACTTAATTTGCATGTGAAGAGCTATATGGATCACTCGCTCCCTGCATTCTCGTATGTGAGAATTTTTTGCTAATGATATGAGCCTAAAGGACAGACTCAGCACCAAGATGAATTCAGTTGTTTCAGTTTTCAACCCAAGAAACAGACTGCTATATAAGCAATATAGCTGAGGGAACCTCAGCATGTTGAGGCCTCTTATAAGCTAAAATCTGCTTTTGGATAAAAAATCCATGTTTCTTTTCCTGCTGCCTGCAAGAGACGAAGCCTCTAATCTTTCATTTTATCGACGCACGAACACCCTTAACATGAAAATCTATCATAAGTATATACACCAGTGAGTTGGAGGTCTCACCTTCTAGAGCTATTTGCATTAAAGACTTTTACATATTGGACTCACTTCTACCATTTAAAATCATTTTTAGGCATAATGGAGATCATGATTGAAGTGCTTATGCCTGAAGTTGGTTGCTTATTGTGAAATCGTTCGTCACGGTGCTGAGATGGTGTGTGCCTGACACTTTCAAATAAGTTTCTTTTTGTGTTAATTTTATAATTATCTTCTCATATTATTTTGAAATGACCAACACTGTGGATCTCCATTAAGTCGTAATAAAGAGTTGCATGATGACACTAAAAGGTTATCACCATGGAAGTGAGCAGTGATTTTTTGGATCCTCTTGATGCAGTATGCCTTTTGCTATCTCCATGTTCTGTATGAAAAAGAACCCATTACAAGCAAGAATATAATGTTGACAATGCACTCTTTTTTTTTTTCTTGTGAACATACATAATCCATTCAATTTTCACCTTATAGAAGGAAATCCAGTTCTCTTTGCCAACCCTGCCTACTGCACGTGCTTTGCCTACACACAGTTGTGCAGCGAAACGACGATACTGGATCTTTATGACTTTTCATTTTGTATTGCCTGTTCTTAGCTTCAGGGAGTTGGAGAAGTTGACTTAAAGAAAGTGGAAGAACAGACACTAGAATTGGAGAAGAATCTGATTGTGAAAGAACTGGAAACACTTGATGTATTAGAAGAACTGGGAACAACCAAAAGGATTGTGGAAGATTTGAAGTGGCAGCTCCAGCATGAAGCGCTGAAATCCATGACAGTCCCTGAACCGCAAGAACGGATGCCAACTCCTATAAGTGAGGATATGAATAAGGAAAATCATAAGTATATTCTGAGCAATTGCGAGCAAGCCATGGGAACTTCCAGCCTGTGCCCTTCTCCATCTCCTGATTTAATCCTGATGGAGTTGAATCAAGCGAAGTTGAATCTGGGCAAAACCATACACGAGCTTGGGCTGATTCAAACATCCGTTGAATGTCTCAATAAGAAAATAAAGAAAGAGAAAGCCTTGCTCGAGAAAACCCGCCAGAGGCTGACATCAAAGCCGGCAGGGGCATCGTCTTTGAAGGAAGAACCAGAACGGCAAAGGATGAAGCCGCTATTGGTGGACGATGCTGACCTCTTTGGGAACTACAAAAATGTCATGGAATTACTTCCAGATGGGAATTACAGGCCTGAGCAATATAGCGAGGTGGATGAAGCTAGAGACTTTGGAGTATCAAGAGCTGTTCCGTCAGTCCAGCAGATGAATGCTAGCAAGAAGACCGCTGAGATGAGATTAATTGCAGCCAGAAAGATGGAGGAAGCAGCTAGGGCTGCAGAGGCGGTTGCACTTGCCGAGATAAAGGCTTTATCAAACAATGAAGGGTCGTTTAACTTCCTCCTTCCTGAGCCAGACAATGCAATCTCGTTCTTGGAAAGGCCATCTCCTTTCAACTCTAAGACTCAGAACGGAGTGAAGGCACAAACGAAATATATGGGAGAGGCCCTGTCCCAAAATGATGGGGCCAATACTCCCAAGGTTGCTATTCTAAAGAAGTTAGAGGACGCAACAGAAGAAGTCAAATTCAGTCAGCAGGCCCTGGAAGAGGCTCTAAACAGAGTGGAGATTGCAAACAAAAAGCAACTCGCAGCTGGTGAGGCTCTGCGGAAATGGACACCAAAGCATGATCAGAGGGGAGCGGGACCTGCTAAGAGAGTGAATCTCTCCAATCCGTCTGATCATCCACGAAATTCACCGCTCGTAGACATGCGCAGGCCGGATCTTGCTGATGAGGAACCAAAACCTGTTTTGAGGCCCACAGTTTCGATGCGGGACGTTCTGAGCAGGAAGCAAGTGCTGCCAGAAGAATATGTGGCAAGAAGACAGAGCGAAGGCCAAAGGGTTGCTTTAAGTCAAATGCTTAATGAACTGAGAGAAGATCTAACATTCCCATCCAAGGCTGAAGGGAACCGTCAAAAGCAGTTCCTAGCGCAGCGCAAGAAGTTCGGTTTCATACATATCTCGCTGCCCTTGACAAAACATAACAAGAAAAATGTGCAACCTTCGGACTTACGTTGATGTCCTTAGTTGGTCCGTAGATTCTGCTCTGCTCTGTGTGTTCTAGTGTGTGGTTGTCCTCCTTTGCGACTCATGGTTTTTTGCTATGTTTGTTAGTGTTGATTGTGTGAATCCAGGGTCTTATTTCGTCATCCATATTCATGAATGAGTTGTGATGATTTTTCGTTGATGTGTTGGGCTGTCAGACAGGACTATATATAGTGTAATCTTAATATCAGATTCAGTATAGTGAAGATTTAAGCTTTATTAATTCGGTGTAGTGTTGTAGCTGCTTGAGAAGATGCCTAGTGCCAGTTTTAACTGATATAAAACTGTGGCTCTGTTTTTCCCAAAACAAAGGGTCATCTCATAATGTTTCCTGTGGCATCAATCCACAAAATGGATGAACCAGAGTCATTTTTTAACCGAAACTCACCATCAAAAAAAGCAAAAGGAGATAGAACAAATCCAAACAAATTGGTTAGGGTTAATATTACGAAAAATCCCAAATTGATGTACTTTCGATAAATTTACCTCAAACTAAAATTCAATCCGGTACACATGCGACAAATTTACTCCAAACTAATTTTTGGGTCACAAAAAATTCTAAAATGGTACACGAGTGACACATTTACTCTTATTTAGCTTTCGTCAAATTTACTGTGAAATTGTTACACCGAATAACACATGACAATAACTCAGTTGATTTAGCAAGTTCACGTGGAATTTCATAACTCTCTTTTTTTGTTTCTTCAATTAGCCATAATTTGAAAACAAATAGGGTTCATCCACTCTCTTCCTTAGAGCACTGTGATTCTTTGTCTTCCTCTTCATCGAGCATTGTCCTTCATTGTCCTCTTCGTCTTCGTATTTAGCATCGGAACTAATTTGAGCACAATTTTATTTGTGATAATCTTCTTGTCTTCGATTTGTTTTTTTGGGCTTGTTTGGCTAACTCATCCAAATCACCAAAGTGGCTGTTTAACGGCTTTCAATTGGAAGTGGTTCGAAGAGAAGCGCGTCATCTTCCAATTCTATCTACGACGTTCGTCGGAAGACGTTCTAGGGTTTTTCGTGCTCGGAGAAAAATAGAGAATAATCCCTATTTGTTTTCAAATCGGGCCAATTAAAATAAACAAACAGAAAGAGTTATGAATTTCCTTGTGTACTTTACCACATTAAATGAGTTATTACTATGTGTCATCCAGTTTAACAATTTTACATTAAAATTTGACAGAGACTAATTGAAGGGTAAATGTGTCATACGTGTACCGGTTTGAGATTTTTGGTGATCTAAAAATCAATTTAAGATAAATTTATTACAAGAGTATCGTTTTGGGTTTTTCGTTGTATTAATCCGTACGGTTATTTTTCCTCAAAACTCTTGATGTGCCATTTTCCTTGCAAAGCAAGCGCCACGCATCGAACGTTTGCTTCCCTGGCGCTGTCGTGTCCCATGCTGGTTAGCCAGGTGGAACTTCGCCAAAAGAAAGAAAGAGAGAACATGTCACCGCGCGAAAAGCTTTTCGCTCTTTCAAATTAACTTTTTGCGGTCCCGCGCAAGACTGTAGTTCGCGAGTTTCAATTCTTGGGGCATTTTCTTTGGACTTGCCCATTCGGCTCGCCTGGTTGGAGAACAGAGATTTTGTCCGTGGCCCACGGAATGATCTAAGTAATTAATTTGATCATTCTTTCGTTTGGATCATCAATTCGTCGAGACCCATTTGTTGGGATAAGCGCGAAGTGCCACCACTGATCGAAAAGAAAAGCCGAAGTTGGAAAGCTTTTTTGGAGAGGAGCACCAAGAAGCTCGAACTGAGCACGTCAATGGCGAGAACCAGGAAAAGGGTTCACGCGACTCGTCGTGGTGCTGATGGTAGCGCATTCGAGAAATGGTATGCGCAGAGCCCGAGTCATTTTGGACGTACATTGATTCTTTCTCTCTCTTTTTTCTTTGGGTGTTGTTTGAATGTTTGTGTGTTGATGCAGCGACAATTGTGGGGCGTCGGTGGCAATCGCTCTTGCCGACATGCATGAGTGCGAGGAACCCAAGAAGGAAGTGAAGAGATTCAGAGGGTTCTGTGGCATTCTAAAGAGTAACTATGTTGGGGAAGAGAGCACCGCCGATCAGCCCAGATCGGCATTTTGCTTCTTCATGTAATGTCTCGAGCCTCTGTTTGCTTTCATACTCTTGTGTTCTTAATACAATGTCTGTGCTCTTTCGTTTGGGCTATCAAATTTTATGCTTTGAGCGTCTTCTTACCTTGCCGAAGTTATTCAGAACGATGGGAGAGGGCATGGGCATTTATGATCTTGCCATTTGCTATATTTGCACGTGGATACCAGGCATATTTGCTTGCAATTTATTAGGGCCAGACACAGATGTTCCTCCATGATTGTCCTCTTTCGTCGAACGAATAAAGTCGTATTTATCAGGTGTGATGGTTCGTCAGGGAAAGCTTTCTTAGGAACAGAGAGGGTGTACATTCAATCGACATCGAAAGAGAGGGATTCGAAACATGGAAGAACATGTCCGTGGAGGTAGCTGCAAGCCTGCAAATGATACCTTCTTTTAGTCCTGTCAGTCTATCCGTGTGTCAATCAACTGGGTTCATGGTTTTAATTCAGGAGAGGCAACCATACATCATTCAGGAGCGAAAGGTAAACTCAGTTTACCAGGAAGCTTTGCTTCGAGAGATAAATGATGCATCTGAGGTAATGTATACTTCTTGATAGATTCTGTTCATCGCTACATCATTTGGCCTCCGCTTTGCTAGTCGACATTTTCTATCTTCCATGTGGTTTTGCACCTATCGGCGATAAGTCGTCATATTCAGTCGAAAGATTAAGCAGCTTAGTTCTCGGAGTAAATGGTATTGTGGAGGAAAAAGTACGGTGTAGTTCCGAGAAAGACTGCGCGATTTTGAGGCGACTTGATTTTCGCAAAGTTTAGTGAACTGTCATCTTACTTTACAACTCTGACAAATGCGAGGGAGTGTTATCACGACTGGTATGTCGTGCTTTTCAGTATCGGTGGACTTTCCTGATCCTGAAGATGATGAGACATTGTGACTGTTTTCTCTAGAATCTCCACCTCGATGATTGATATATACTTTTGAGGCTACTACGAGCTCCAAAATGCTGCTTGAATGTTCTGCAGATGGACGATGAGGCGGACTCTGCTATGGTTGGGAAGTTCGATCTGGTTCGTGAATTTTCTTATGCTCACTTAAGCACAGAACTCATCTTCTTTCCCAAGCATATGCCTTTACAACATCCTTTTCGTAATCAGTCACAGTTCTATGAAGACTTTGAAGACGACGACGACGACGACTCTGGTAGCTTCGAAGCACTCCCTAGCTTCACCACCTATGAATGGTAATTCTTCACTATATTCACTGGCATGAAGCCAACACATGTGAATCTCCGGACTTCCCGTTCGCGTACTGCTTTTACCTACATTCTCTTTAATCAGCTACTAATTTCGCGAAACTCTCTTTGACAGCAGGCGAATGGTCCGCTCGTGGGTCGTTAAGAAACCCGAATCTGAAGATTGACAGCTGCTTCGAAGGTTATCGATCTGGTCGACTTACTAATGACGGTGTTCTTAAATGAGGATACTGCAGAATTTTGGCGAACTCACCGTGTTCAGTGAAGGCGAGTCATTTTGGCTATTGTAAAGAAACATAGTTGTCCATAGTGTTATCAGTCAGGAAGTTTTTCCACTCAAACATGGACTCGCTGATCTAACCCATGAATGATCAAACTCAGTGCTAAATCGGTGCTCCATTTCCTACTGTCAAAGTTTGCAGATAAATGCATCTTAGTGGGAAGGGTTCATTGTGTTTCCAGTTCGGGTTACAAGCCCGAATTGAATCGTAACAACACCCAATGTTTTCAGCTATTACCTGAACTGAAATGGAGCCCGACGCGAAAAATTCCAAAATTTTCGGTTCGGATAGGACCGGTTCGTTTCGGACCGGCCGTTTTTTGACACCCCCACATATTACCAAAAAGAGGACACGTTCATGCATCTTCCCAACTAGTCCATGAAAATTAATCTGCGTAATCATCGGTCAAATGATTCGCATGACAGGATGAGTCTTAGCCCAATGACATGGATATTCAATTACGTGCTCATTTTCCTTCTTTCCTTTGTCCATCACGTTACGTGTCAAAAAAAAAAGAAAACAAAAAGAAGAAGCAGCATTTTAATGCACCGATCGAGGATGTATAACGCTTTAATCACGATGCCCACGTGACATGCATCCCCCCGTTCGATTTTGCGTGCAATGTCAAAGAAATTAACGTTTCATAATTAACACGTGTCCTCACCTAATGTAATTATCGCTATAATCTAATCACGTGCTCTTGTGGCGCACCATCTAGGGGTGTGCAACCGGACCGAGTTTACCCGGGAACCGGACCGGCCCACCCGAAAAATAGGTCCGGGAACCGGTTCTTGTTTGAACCGGTCCGGGAACCAGTTCTATATTTTTGGAACCGGTCCGGTTTCCGAGTCTAGGTGAAAACCCACCCGGACCGGTTTTTAGAACCGGTTTGAAGTTACAGTAAAAACCCTAAATCAGACTCTCAATTCTCAGCCTCACTTCTCAGTCTCGAGTCTTGACTCTCTTCTTGCCCTTTTTAGTAAAAACCCACCCGCAAGAGCTCGTCGCCGCGGCTTGGCTCATCGCCGCGGCTACTCGCCGCTCGTCGCCCACGGGGTGCTCGCCGCTCGTCGCCCGCGGGGTGCTCGCCGCTCGTCGCCGCGGCTTGGCTCGTCGCCGCAGCTGCTCGCCGCTCGTCACCACGGGGTGCTCGCAGCTCGTCGCCGCGGGGTGCTCGCCGCTCGTCGCCCGCGGGGGGCTCGCCGCTCGTCGCCGCAGTTTATAGTCTTATGCTTGCAAACGGGTTTATAGTCTTATGCTTGCAATTTCGCAATGCTGTTGCTCAATACACCCGGTGAGAGCTGAGTTCAAGAAAAGTTCTAATTTTTTGCACAAAGCAAGTCCCTTTTTCATGTTAATGAAAAGTAGGAAGGATCGGTGATGTGGTCAAGTTCAAACCTCAGGGACCCGCATTCTCCTTTCCTTATGATGAAGACTTGAAATCTTTTACCTTTAAACTGAAAGATGACATCTTTTAGCGTTTGCCGGTGGCATAAAGTCAACGTTTGTAGATAGGCAACACCTGCGTTTTACATTTTCTTCACAGTAGACATGTATGCTTTATGGGAGTAGCTGTTGGAGGATGCAGTCTGAAAGTTGGAGTCAACTTTTCAGATTTCCTACTTATTGTTTGAGCCATTGTTCTTTCATCCTGATTATCTATTTTGTTTTACTCTTGCTATGATGTGAGAAAAGTTAAGATAGATAAGAAAAGATTATTGAAGCTGGAGTTTTGATTATGGGTATTTGCTTAGCTTGATTGCCTATTTAGCGCGACATCAAACATAACTTCTGCAAACAGTACAAGTTGTGTTGTGAGCAAATTACCAGGTCAAGTTTCAAATGGTTGACTTAATTTTTGAAGATCTTTGGAATAACTGATTCTTCTCATGCAATCGTCTTAGTGGTCAGCTAAATGAGATGTAATTAGGTCGCTCTGTGCCACTTGGTTTTGGACATCCGCATGATTTTGGAAATAAAATAGAGTTAATCATTTTTCTTGTGCCCATTTACTGTTTTTCATTTGCTGCTATGATTAAACAAGGGTAATAGTGAAGTCATTCAAACTTGATACTGGTCATCGTTAATAAATTTAGACTTTAAGCTTGGATGGAATTGTAATATGAAGCAGATTATGTTATGGTTAATGTGGATGTCCATATAGCCGTAGAGTTCTTAGCACATGTCAATCTCAGCGAGCGGATCTTCTCTTTTTTAACTTTGTCACGATGCTGATGAAAGTGAGGAGCCCACGCAGTCCACTAGTGCAATTGCTCATGGTGAGGACTTTTTTGTTCTGATGACATCATTATTATATCTTTTGATAGTTTTTCGAAATTTTGAGCTTGGTTATACCATGCCCATGGTGGTTGATTGGTGTATATAATTTTTCTGAATAGTTATTTTTGTTGAGAGGGTGGAATAATTATTGGCACTAATGCTTATATTGCATCACTGAAGTGGCTTACTGCCAAATTTTGTGCGCTTGTGTACTTAGAGCGTCTTATGCTTTTACCTAATCTTTAACACTGTCGATTTGATGCTGGAGGACAAGTGTGATATACTTTGGGACCTCTTTGTGGATTGTTTATTTTGCTTCGAATTTCTGTAACCAAGAAAAGAAAAAAAAACAGGTTACTAGGTAGACTCTGAAACCGAACCGGAAAAACAGGGTAGGTTCCAAAACAGGTTCTAGGGAAAATAGGGTAGGTTCCAGGTCTGGACCCTACCCACCCTAGAACCGATCACCCCTAGCTAGTCATGGCCACGGTTCAGGAACCGGCGGTTCCGGTTCATGACCACGTATGAACTGGAACCGGAACCGCAAGGGGGCGGTTCCGATTCCGGTTCCGATTCGAAACCGGCGGTTCCGGGCCGGTTTCGGTTCCGGCCGGTTCCTTATTTAAAAATTAATAAAATAATTATAAAATAAAAATTGCAGGCCTGGTCCTCTGTCGATCGTCGCTCGGGCTTCGCGGCCTTGGCCACGGTGGCGAAGGCGGCGTTCAAGGCTGCGAGGAGATGAAGCGGGAGACGGGGGTGGCGGCGAGGGGGAGAAGGAGGGGGCCGGGAGGGGGACGGGGACGGGGATGGGGATGGGGACAGGGAGGAGGAGCGGGGGCTCCTCCTCCTCCGGGGTCGGGAGGAGGGGAGGAGGAGGGGGCGTCGGCGTCGGTAGCTGCGGCCATGGGGGGGCGGCGGCGGCGGGGGTTAGATCTGGGGAGACGGGGGGCGGGCGGAGGAGAAAAGGGGAGGAGGCGCAGGGTAGCGAGGGGGAAGGAGGAGGCGGCGTCGGCGTCGGCGTCGGCGTCGGCGGCTGCGGCCATGGGTGGGGGCGACGGCGGCGGGGGTTAGATCTGGGAAAACAGGGGCGAGCCGCGAGCGGAGGAGAAGAAGAAGAAGAAGAAGAAGAAGAAGAAGGAGAAGGAGAAGAAGAAGATGCAGAGCAACAGAGCACGTGAGAGAGAGAGAGGGGGGACTAAAAAGTCTAAAATGATTTTCTCACCACACACGACAGCAGCAAATTTTTTTTTTTTTTGAACCGGGCCCGGAACCGCCGGTTCTGGGCCAGTTCCAAAATTATTGGAACTGGAACCGGGCCCGTAGGTCACGGGCCGGTTCGGAACCGCGGGCCCGGTCAACGGGCCGGTCCCGGGTTTGACCGGGCCGGTTCCGGGCCAAAACCGGCCCGTGGCCGTGACTACCCCTAGCGCCATCGTTACACAAGATATCGGAAGAAGGAAAAGCTTTTTCCCTTTTTTTTCCTCACGTCACGTGTTTATCCACATGTACGGTCCGTGACCCGGCATGACGTGGCGAGCTCCTCCTATATTTTTCTTTTTCCTTTTCCTTCTCGCGCGGCGAAAAAATAATCGAAACTATTTTCTCGTGAAAAGCTCGAAGCATCGCGGAGCACAGAGAGAGCGCGTCATCGTCTTCTTCGATGAAATCCTGAGCTCCATCGTCTCTGCGAGAATCGCTCCGATGGAGTCCTCCTGCAATTTCGCGAGCTCCTCTTCCCTGCTGCTCCCTCCGAAGCCGATCTCGAAGCTATCGCAACACAAGTCCCCCTTCGAGCTCAATTTCTCCGTGCGTTCGCCTCGCCCCCTTTCTTCTGGCGTCCCGTCGAGTCCGGTTCTCACTTTTCCCGTCTATTGGCGATTCGTTTATTAGCTTCCTTCTTGCTTTTTTGTTGTGGCAGAAATGGAAGCCGAAGGGGGGCCGGTGCCGGCATCGCTCGGTGGTTCGAAGCGCCTGCGGCGGCGGCGGCGGCGGCGGCTACGGCGGCGGCTCCGAAGATAGCGCCTCCGTTAATGGCTTCGCGGTTGCGCCTAACAGGCTCTTCATGCAGGAGGTAAGCTAGTCCGTTGCTTTGAATTTGAGGCCTTTTTTTAGGTTAATTTTTGGGGTGCATCTGTTCCTAAGTTACGGGATTTTTAATAGAGAAGCTGAGCTCGTTCTAGTTATCTGCAAAGAGAGAAAGAAACTGAGTTCGTTCTGTGCTGTGCTTGTAGTTATGGTATATTCTTCTCCTAATTATGAGGAAGAAATAGAAAAAAAGATTCTGAGCTCCTTCTGTGTTGTGCTTATGATACTGCTGTATTTCTTTGTTTGGGAAAATTCACATAAATGGGTCGTCGTCTTATGTGCTTGTATTAGCTTGTAATGAATTGAAAGTTAACTCGAACAATCTTCTGTTGTTCTTTTTCTGATGCTCGCGGGCTTGTTTTGCATATTTGTTTGGCCAAAATTGTTGGATTTTTGGGGGCCTAGAGCAATTTTATTGGTCAGCACAAAGTTGGTGGATTGTTTGGGTGCCTAGAGCACTGTTCTTGATTTTTTCGGTGTGTAGGCGCAAGTACGCCGGTAAGTGTGTTTTGATTTGTTTGTTTGATTTTGTGGTTATCAGGCAATCGGAGCGGAGTATGGGGAGGGTTTTGAGACGTTTAGAACGGATGGCCCTCTGAAGATGGATGTGGTAGCATTCTCTTGCTTATTTTGTCAACCTGTGTCTCTATTTTGTGACTGTTTTGGGTTTTGATGAGCTTTCTCTATGTTTCATGGGCTGCCTTCCTGTGGTAGGATTTTCTAAATGACAGACTACAAGAAGGGTTTCTTCAACGTATACGATATGCGATGAAACCAGATGAAGCTTACGGGCTTATTTTCTCCTGGGACAATGTGGTGGTAACGCTTTTTGACTCCAGCCTTGTACATCTATTATATTTTTAAGATGCTGAATTGATTTGCTTTGGGGTGTGATTGGTCAGAATCAGATATGTGGAGCTTTTCGGTTCACCATTGATTTCTGAATGAATGCTTTCTGGTAACTTGCAAACTGATTAATTTTCTATTGCCAATTCTTCTTTATGATAAAAAGTCCCAAAAGTGAAGGTAAACAAATGGACTCCATATATCAAACACTAAAAACTGACGATTTCATACAGTTGCGTACCTTAGGTGATTAATATCTCAGTAGTTAAAGTTGTAAGTTATAACTTTCTCCAATACTTATTCAAGTTCTTATGTATTGCACTCCAATATCAGGTAGATACCCAGTCTCTGAAGTTGAAAGCATGGAAGCAGCTGGCCATCGAAGAGGGTATGTGTTACTTTCCCACCAGTATGCCCTAAAAACTGTCAGTAGAATAACTTGAGTGTAGGCATGAAGTATCTCTTGGTCATAAATTTGGAATACCATTGGTTAATCATGAGGACTTATCTTCGTGCCTGAAATGGAAGTTCTTAACAAGTTTAAGCAGCAAAGTTTGGGGTTCATGCTCTAACTTCATGGTTCTTCTCTTTCCTTATATGTATATCGAGAAATATGCTTAAGTAAGGCTTTTGGATTGATTCTGTTAGATTGTCAACCTGTCAATGAGAACTTTCACTACTCCTAGAATCACAGGATTGGTAGTGATAGGATTTAATGCAAAATCTGAGTGAGAAATTTTTGTGGTATCTTTTACTTCTACAAGCCATCGACAGAAATCAAAATCTTTGATTGATGATCAAAATGAAAAACAATTATTCTAGAACACAGGATGCTGCTTTTAAGAATCTTATGAAGCAGGTGAAATGAAAATTTCAAAACGTAGTTCATTGGTTTTCGTTTTTCAGGCAAGGAATTACCTGAGGACATCCGATTACAAAAGCTCATGCTTCATGCAGGTGCTGATCACGTTCTACATAAGGTTTGCAATCACGGTCTCTTTTGGTATTCTTTATCTTCTTGTTGCCTTGGATGAGATGCATCTTTGCCCTCTACTTATCTACATTAGTATGGGAATGAAGAAGGGGAAAAGAGATTCGATATATCTTACGTGCTTGTGCTTGAAGAAATTGCTGAACTGTGCTCTTTTCTCCTTGTACACCTTTGTAGCAAAATGGGGCACCTATTCATCTAGCTAAAATAGGTTGAAACTTTAAAGGGTCAGTGTTGCAATAGTCTGTTGAATTTTTTTATCATACGAGACTAGTGATTGAACATTTTCAAATATATCAGCTCCCCTTACAAATGGGATGCCCATTTGGATTTGAAATTTTTTACCCTTTAGTTACCGGAATCTTTGATTCAAATCATGATTACCTTTGACAACTCCTGTGCAAAGTCCTTTTTTGCCTTTGAAGCTGTTGTTTCTAGAGGATTTTTATGTTTCATATTCCAAGATGGCGGTTCGTAACAAGTGTTGACAAATTCTCAGGTTTTGCTGTGGGATGAAGAAAGTGAGGAAGATAGATTAAAGTCGAGGCTTGCCCAGTTATATTATGATAATCTTCTTGAAGTGAGAGCAAGTTATTGATTTTATTGACACATTTGTCTCCATGACCATGAGTTAATCGCGATATGATTGACATGTTTTGGCATCCAGCTAAGAGAACCTATGGAGGGACTTAAAGAATGGATGGATGCAGTCCATACGGCTCGCGTCCCTTGTGCTATTGTTTCTAGTCTGGATCGGAAAACTATGATTGAGGCACTCGACCGCATGAAGCTAGCCAAGTATTTTCAGGTAGGCAATGGCCTTGTAGCATTTGTTTCTTTTGATGGCGCCATTAAGTGTGATAATCACGAACTTGAGCTTTAACAGCAAATTTGTCATTTTTCTCGTGAGCTCCAAAGGCTGTGTGACATTCTATGGCTTTCGCTAGTTTCATTATTATCTGTCCACTTAAAGCCCCAGTACAGGAGCACTGTAGAAAAGGTCCCAAAAAAAAAAAAAATGCAGAAAGAGCAGCATTCTCAATACAAAGCAGGAAAACTCAATACTGAATTTATCATTCTTACAGCAGTTATTCTCTCTATCATCTACAGGCAGTAGTTACAGAAGAAGATGGCATGGAGTCGATAGCTCATAGATTTCTTTCAGCTGCTTTGAAGGTGCGTTAAGACATCCCCAGTCTACTTTTACAGCATTTGGTTGATTCTAGGTATGGAACTCACGGTATTTTTTGCTTTGGGTGAGCTGTTATGAGATTGTTACATTACTCATGAGAATTGTTAGAAAGCCAACTCAAAAATTTAAATTAATAGAATGAGGGAGAGTACACGAATATAAGGTCCCACCCCTTTGAGGTGCAAGCCAGATAAGGAGCTGTGCAAATGGGGAGCCGCACATGCAATGTAAATTGTTGAGGAATCTGATTCCGAAACGTAATCTAAATGTTTAAACCGACAGGTGGAAGGAGACTACATGAATGTAAGGCCCATCGAAACACTATAAACAAACAGTATGGGATATTTTAACAAATATGATGGACTTCTTAAGGGGTTTCGGTGGAACTTTAGGAAGTCGATCTTCTTATAATCCATTCTATTTGTTGCAGCTGGACCGCAAACCATCAAAGTGTATAGTATTCGAAGGTGACCCCAGAGGCGTAACTGCTGCTCACAACTGTACGATGATGGCCATTGCCTTAATAGGTGCTCACCCAGCGTATGTATCCATTCGATTTCATAGCCATTTCTCCGCCTCCTCCATTTCTCTTCCTGCTTCTATCTTTGGATTGGAAAGAGCATAAACATAAGACAATGAGTTTCGGAAGTTGATCGCTGTGAGGCTGTGCAGGTATGATTTGGAGCAGGCAGATCTTGCTGTCGCCAGCTTCAATGAGCTTTCAGTGATTAACCTCCGCAGATTATTCGCCAACAAGGGATCCACTTTCATGGACTTACAAAAGCAGTTTGCAGAGAGAGAACATCCCAAAAGGAAACTCACTGTGGAGGATCCAATTTTTTGATTCGTTTGTCTAGATATCATTCTGTAATTAAGCAAACCATCCTCTATGTACCCATTTCTACGTTAAATTTTCTTTATATTTTCTTTGTCAGATGGAAAAAATATGTCAGTCTTTACTCTTTCTGGCTCGTGTATCTCAAAGTTCAGCTAACAGTTACAGCGCATTTGCTTCTGTAACAATATAGGGAATAGGGATTGTCATCAGTCTATCTAGATCAAAATTGGGTTACGATTCCTCTTTGTTGATTCGAACTCAACCATAGACGTGACGAGCATACTTGATATCATAGTGCTGGTGCGGTTGACTTTCTTCAGATCGAGGATTTCATATTCGCTGATAATCCTCTAGTAAGCCGCATTAAGAGATAAGTTCGATTGTCTTCTGGAGAGGCAGATATAGACGAAAGCTTGAAAATGAGCACAAGGTTGTCCTGTTTTGCTTTACAAAATCAATTGGTAAATCAATGTGACTAGGCACTGAAAAGTTCAAGTGGCCCGTGTCTTCCTTGACAAAAATGATACGGGAGTAGTTTACTTACCCATGTGGGTTTTTCATCGACAGAAAAAAAAGATGAGAAGGTAAACGGTGCTGGCAATCCCCTCTGAGCGTTACTATAAGGATGTTATATCCGCTATAGAAGGTTCAATTAAAATGATAATTATTCTGCACCATCTTCGGTCTGCAGAGGGCTGAGATTGGCGAGCCCGACTTCATAGCTTCAACAAGAAAATGCGGCTTTAGTTGATAAACTTAAAAGGATGCTATTTTCCTCAGATGATTTCATCATGTGGAGACGCGTTCGATGCTCATTGTGAGCGAGCCTATAAATGACTCATGTTGCGTTGCCTAGTTGGACATATCTCGTGTGGAGAGATTTCCTAATTGCTAAATCTTGATAAGGTTGTGGCAACGGGCTTGCCAGCTATAAACCTTTGGGAGTAGCAAGTGTAGGATCTTAACAGCAAGAGGGAATCGCGAGCACTGATTGCCTCTCCCCGTACCGTATTTTCAAGCTAAACAACTTATCATTATTTTACACATATTTAAATGTCTATAATTGAAAGTTATTTATTTTTTCTCATGTGACAATCGAAGAAACTAACATGATTAGGAGGACCATGTAAAGTATCTCTCTTTCGTTTCACATACTAAGCATTCGAAACTCGGATTATTAAGAACTTGCCATAAAAATCTATGGATGCTGCAGAAACAATGGATCATGCCTGATTAGTATTTAACAGATATTTTGGCAATTTAACTCATAGGTCCTCGGGGTTAACTTCATCTCTATAAGGGATAATGACACAGACAGTCTCTGAACTTTAGTTCAATGTGCAATGTGGTTCATGAGCTTTTAATTTGTTCGATATAGTCCATAAACTTTAGCTTAATATTCAATGTGGTCCCTGAACTTTTACTTTGTACAATGTGGTATCTAGACTTTTGGTATATATTCAATATAGTCTTTGAACCATATGAAAATGTTCAATATAATCCTTCAATTAATTCAAGTTTAGGTACTACATTGAACATTTTCATATAGTTCATGGGCTAAATTAAACATGTACCGAAAGTTCAGAAACCACATTGAACATTAAGCTAAAGTTTAGAAACTACATTACATAAATTAAAAGTTCATTGACTATATTACGGATTAGGCCAAAATTTATGGACTATTCGTGCCATTTCTTTCTTTTTTTTCGAACAAAAAAAAAACTCTTGCAGTTTTTCGAGGCGAGGAAGCTAGTGGGACCAACCCCGAGATGTTCGAAAGCTGACATGGCAAGAACGAGGATGCTTGCTGGATCTGTCGAAATTACGCTTCTGGATATGGAGCCCCCCCTTCCCCTTATCTTATCGTCCTCAAATCCCTCCATTCCATTTACGATGAAGCTGATGATGATGATGGTGGTGATGGCGATGGCGGCAATGAACTGCGCACTCGGGTCCTGCTGATTCTTGTACGCGGTCAACCAACATGTCTTGCTTCCATTGCTACAGCTCCTCGACAATGGCTTCTTCGTCACCTGTCTACACCACCCAAACAAGATCCTCGCCCTCTTCCTTCGTTCTCGTCCCCAATTCAAGACCCAAGAGCAGAGTCGCCTGCGCTCTCGGAGGTAACACCCATTTGATTTCCTTCTCTCTCTCCGTAATTGCACTGTGATTCAGATGGAACTCTTCTTTTGGTTTGATGGCTGAAACCTATGTATGAGAAATATACAGAAGAAGCGAAATTTCAAGTCTTTTTGTCTGTCCCGAGAGCCCCAGCTCTGATCTTGGTGACTGAAATCTAAAACCTCCATTTGGGTTACCGGGCAGCTGATAAATATTGATTTTTGGCAATGTAATGTCAATGCCATAAGTGGTACGCTTTCAAGAAAGTCAATGGATGCCTATTCGGATAATTCAGCTGCTTGTTGTACTTTTTTCTCGGGTATTCTCTTCGAAATGTAAATTGTATCCGTTTAATCTGAGGGATTTTGCATTTCGTGGCACCTGCGGATGTAATTTGACATGAACGGGATTTATGGATTGCATTTTAGTACACCGGTAGGTTCTTCTAGGGTGGGATAGATATGCTAGATGCCTGATCATTTTATTGATTCTTGGAAATAGTTATGTCTGATGCACAATGATACGAAATTACTTGCAGGGATTGTGGCAGAACCAATGGCAGCTACATGCGTTTCCGAGCCGTTATTGCTTAATGCTGTTCGTGGAAAAGAGGTAGAAAGACCTCCGGTTTGGCTCATGAGACAAGCGGGGAGGTACATGAAGGCAGGTCTATCTTTACTCGAATCTCTGTTTCTGCAGCAGTTTTGTTTTTTGCAGTCTACTGATTCTGTCTCCGTTTGTGACTTTCGGGGGTTGCTCGAGTTCCCATTTCTTGGTATTTCCTGTCTTTACTTAGTGAAATTTGCTTGAGCAGCGTCTGGCAGTAGCAACCTAAATTTTATGCAAACTCCTGACCAGGAAATGCTGATAAATTCTCGAGGGAAAATGAGATAATCATAAACTCGTTTGTGTGCTTCGACCGAGTGAAAATTATGATCAACTCTGCTGAGAGTTGTAATGTACTTCCACATCTCTTTCTCCTGCTCAGACTTGCATTACCGGTTGTGTTATCGAGAGCACTTTACTCTGAAATGGTTTTCTCTGTCACTGTTGCCAATTCTCTTGTATTGCTGGTTCTCTTGTATGCATCGGATATTTGCTTCTACCGATTCTATATTCTTTCCCAGTGTCTAACTTGTTTCACTTTGCTGAAAATTACTTGTTACAGAGTTACCAAAATATCTGTGAGAGGTATCCCTCCTTTCGTGAAAGATCTGAGAATGTTGACCTTGTAGTGGAAATATCCTTGCAGCCATGGAATGTCTTTAAGCCTGACGGGGTAAGTATCTCCGAAGAATGTTTCCCTACATTTTCTGCATAGAATTTGTCGGGTCGTAAGTGTGTGCGCTACGTTTCTCCTCTGGTGAGAATATCCTTCTTAAATACTGTTCTGCTGTTAAGCTTAGATGAGCTCTATCAGAAAGGGATACTTTCATGCTTGGCCATGCTAGTAAAATTTAAGCCAAATATTTGTAATTTGGTCAATATAACCTTGAAAATGAGATGCAACCACATTGAACTGTAAATTACAATATTTTCAGTGAATCACAACCGTTCAACTCAAAAGGAAAAGTTGTGACGCGCTTAAGTTGACTGCTTAGTTTAATGCAAAGCTAACTTTCAGCTTTACAATTGACTAGATTTTTTCTGTGAAAGAGTGCAGTGTTCATAACTAGAATCTATACCGTCTTGTGATGTGTCATTTCTCTATCTTCCTATACTTACATACTGATATATATTCATTCGTGTAGGTTATTTTGTTCTCGGACATTCTCACCCCTCTTACAGGGATGAATATACCATTTGACATTGTCAAAGGTAAGGGTCCTATCATCTTCAATCCGGTACAGACAATTGCTGATGTCGATCAAGTAAGAGAATTTACTCCTGAAGATTCAGTGCCGTATGTGAGAGAAGCATTGAAGATTTTGCGAAAAGAGGTCTCTGTCTGCATTTCTTAGAATTTATCCGCATCTTTGTGATCTATCTTTGTGCTTGTTTACCTATTTGAAACTTGTCACTGCATTGCGGTGCTATGCATTTGATATAGTTGCCCCATGTTTTATGCATGAGACCAAATTGTTTGACAATAATGCAAGAGTTAGTTTTAAAAAGGTCAATCTTTAACAAAGACTTTGCTATGCTTGCCATGAATACTTAGTCATACTATTTACTACCAAAATGATCGCAGTAACCAAGGAGATATTCCAAACTTCGTACACATATATCGATGGGAAAAAGGCTTCAGCGAAAAACCAGTAGAATTATTGGTGTTGGCTGTTAAGTTCGCTTCAACTGTTTCATTCACGATACCACTTCTCTTCATGATAACTTCTATGTGCATGACACAACCAAAATACAGACTATAATATAACAAAATATATGTGTTAGACTTAACTGATTTTGAGGAAACCAATCCGCATTGGAATTGTTGGGCTATGGTAACCAAGTGTATGATTTGCAGGTGGACAATGAAGCAGCTGTCTTGGGTTTTGTCGGTGCTCCTTTTACTTTAGCATCTTATGTAATAGAAGGTGGTTCATCAAAGAACTTCACAAAGATAAAGAAATTAGCTTTCTCGCAACCCAAGGTAGTCATGGGATATTTCTTTTACCTTTATAATTTACTTGAGCTCAGTGCTTTGCGAGACGGCTGCATTTGCAATTCCACCACACTCAGTTTAATGAGATTTTTGGCACTAGTGATCAGATTGACAGAATTTTGTGTCAGGTACTACATGCATTACTTGAGAAATTTGCAACCTCCATGGAGAAGTACATCAAGTTCCAAGCTGACAGTGGAGCTCAGGCTGTTCAGATCTTTGATTCATGGGCCACAGAGCTCAGTCCCGTAGATTTTGAGGAGTTCAGCTTGCCTTACTTGAAGCAAATTGTGGATTCTGTGAAGCAAAGCCATCCAAATCTCCCTCTAATTCTTTATGCTAGTGGATCTGGCGGCTTGCTCGAGAGGCT